CTTGATATTCTACAATTATAATAACATATAATAGCATAATAGTAATATACCCCGCGGGGTATCGCGATTCCCTATAAGATGTTTCATTTAAGGCGCGAGATCTCGCCTCATCAGATTCGTTCGGCAGGAGGCTAGGCGCCTGCGAGACTCAGGGTAGGCCACCCCGCCGTACATGCATGCCCTGCATGCGAGATGTTGCCTACGCACCAGGCGCTATAGAGCTTCCACATGGGCTAAACTTCACAGCAGTAATGCCATCGCGCAAAAAAGGGCTATTAATTCAGAAAAAAAATCGGTCCGAGATTGTGGAGTCTGCCATCACGCCAGCGCCAGGGATAGAGCGCCTCTCGCTGATCTTGAGCCCATGCAACGTTTTCGTGTGGGTGGTCGTAACAATCCACGAGAGATATGCAGCGGTAAACACCTTGAATTTATTTCGTCCCGGGAGCAAACGCATGCGATGCTGCAGCATCGCAAACTTAAACGGTTGCTGAAATTTTGCATCTTTCTAAAATAATTGTTGTTAGTATTTTTACAATGTTTAAAACGAAAAATCGTTGGTTAATTACAAAATGTCAGTAGAATAGTAGAGTGCGCGGCCCGCATGTATCTGCCGATGATGAAGTGCGCCCGATCGCCGCCAGCATTTCTCTGGCGTGATTGCCGCACAAGTGTGCAGCGTTATTGACCTGTCAATAACTAATCGTTGGAGCGAAGCCCATGCCTGACCACCGCGCCGGGCCGGGGCGTTCAGAGCGGCTGGACGACAATTATCCTAATAATAGAAAAAGAAATGATAGTAGTGCAGTGTGGTCATTGATTGTAGTGTGCATCGTGGGGTGCGCCCTACTTCAGGGCGGCGCGCGCGCGTGGGCGGTGAGGAGTGCCGCGCGGTTTAAACGGACGACGACGACGTCGCAATCGCATAGGCTGGACACATGTCGCGAGATCGATGTATCGCCAGCCGCTGGCTCTCTCTCTGCTCTCCCTACCGGTGCGCAAATTTATAAAACTGTGTCGGCTTTCTCTCCCCCCGCACCGCTAACCCTTCGGCTTTGCGCTGATCTCGTAGCTCAATGCCAAGTGCAAGGATGTCGTGCAGCGCGGGTAGAGCGGGAGACTTAAACGCGGGGGAGCGGCGCTCGAATCCTCCGAGGGACGTTGCTGGCCACCCGGCCGCCCGCCCTCTGCAACCGCACCGCGGCGCGTGTGTGGCGCGCGTCGGCCGGGGGCTGGGTTTTTATTTATTAGCCGCCTTTTGCATTTTGTACTTTCCTTTTTGTTCCATTCGTCAGATTGATCTCTCAGTGTTATTTTTCCCGGCCGCCGTCGAGATCTTTGTCTTGGCATTGTGTGTGCTCGGGCTGTGTTGGTTTGGTCACCGCGCGCGTCCCGGGCGATCGATCGATCCCAGCTCAAAAATAATCGACGTGTAATTGTCGTGTTATGTAAAACGATAAGGCGCGTATCGAGCTCGAGCTCCCGGAGACGGGGGCAGGAGGTATCAGTGATGTACCAGTTCATAAATACTGAATACACTCCTGGAAACCTAGCAGGTGTGCACAACAGTTAACTTTGCTAGTACAACTAAATACTACCTTGCCAGTCACATCATATCTCCTCATACTTAGATAGGGGTCGTTCAAAAATTGTCAGTAACGGCCTGAGAGTGTAAGAAATGTTTTCAAAATTTATTCTAGTTTTTGCCTTACTACTTAATGCTTGCATTATAATGCCCCCTGGCCGTTGACCCGCCTCACGCCGCCGCTGCACCTGCTGGCGGCCACCCCGCGCGCTTCTGAAAGTAAATCAACCCGGGGGCCGGTTAAGTGATTGATTGGTTGATTGAGTGGCTTCAATAAGGGGCCCCGCGTCGTGATGAAAGTCATTTCGCGATGCACACGCGGGTGGGAGGGGCCCTGCTCCTGGACCCCACAGCGACCCTGCGCGCTGCACTCCCCGTAATTACAGGCGCACTCTGATTTATTGGGCTCAAGTGTTGCAGCGCCCGCCCGTGAGCGCATTTCGTTGCTTTGCGATCGGCTTCCTTACATCATTTGCATCCAATTTGAGAGTTGTTGTCCGGAAGCGCGCGCGCAGGTTTAATCCAAGCTGCTGCTGCTGCTGCAGCTGATGGATGGGCCCCGTACGCACTATACGAGCTACGTGCGGGACCCGCTGCTAGCTGCTTGCCGCGGCTAATCCCCCAACCCTCCGACAGGGAGTGTCTCACCGCGTGTCTCACTTTCTAAATCTCAATAAATGCAGTTGGATTTATGGGGTGCGTCACGCACGGCGGCACTACTTTGTCGGCGCTGCGTTATGGATTCAAAGTACCCGCCACGACTACTGCCTAGACGGGCTCATGTCATTGTCCCGCGTAAGACGCTGCAGTATGATGAAGTAGCTCAAACGCGCACTGGGTCGGAGAGTAAAATAATTTGGTCGTTCTATAAAGCCTAAGCAGGAGAATGGCCCGGTCACTTTCAATTTGAACAAGCTCAGGCATAGTGACCAGCATGGCCATGACCACTGTTTTCCCCGCGTGCAGGCAATCTGGGCCTAAAACAAGTTTGTCACAAAAAAAAGAGTGACTTGCCAAAGAAATCGGCAGCACCAACAGGGTGGGAAATTGCTGCGTTGCCTGGTGACGCTAAGGAATAATCGCACTGTGCCGTTTGAGTGTCTGTGCAGTCACTGCAGTGCCGTTAATCCGAGTGGACTTTACAACCCTACTTTTCGTTCTGTTCCAGGTACTTGAACGCGCACCCTTGACCGACAACCTGGAAGCAGGAGGCGGGCAGCCCTATTCAGGTATACCGGCGCCGCCGGGGCCGTCCCTTCGTGGAACAATTAGGGCCCTCTGGTCACCGTGCTCCCCTGGGCCCTTATCTGATGAAGCGAACTACAAGCCACACTATCTATCTATCTATCTATCTATCTATCTATCTATCTATCTATCTCCTCTTGGTTTTCAAAAGCCGCTTTTACAAGGCCTTTTTTTCTCCTCGACAATATTACCACGGAGTAACATAGATGGAGCCTCGGCTGCCGTATTTCAGCGAATGAAAGCGGGGCCCGGCTCACGTCCGTGTTCTGGAGTTGTCAAAAGTCGCCACTAGGTAGGCGCTTGTGCCGCTATGGCTTCGTTTGCTGAAGTGTCATAGCGACTAAAGCGCCAAGTGGCAAGAGTTGCAAGCTACTAACCCCGGACATGTTTTGTAGCCATTCCGTTCAGCGTAGGCAAGGCTCCATCTATGATACTCCGTGATATTACCCCGTCCAAACGTAACATTGTCCAGGTACGGATGCTTTCGTGGCGGGACAAAAGGTTCCATTTTCAAGACCTGAGCTCAAAATCGAAGGGTCGTGAAAAAGGCACCTGTACCCTGTTAACCCTTTAAGTCACAGAAAATTTCCCGCGGAAAAATATTATTTTATATAGTCTGCCCTGACTAATTTGAGGGTGGCGGATCCATTTTTGGTGGTCCCGACCTCATCCGACTTCCGGTTTAGCGTCTAGAGGTATGTCCTTTATAAAGGACATGTGACTCCAGGGGGTCAACCATGTCAAAAATAATTTCTTAAATATTTGAGGTAGACAATTCAAATTTTCTGTGAGTGTGTAGCTGTATCCCAAGTGTCTTGGCTGAAAAAGACAGACCTGTGTGAAAAAAAATTCCTCCTTAAAAACATGAGTAATACGCCAGGGTTTTGCATAAACCGTTCCTGTAGCCGTATTTTTGAGATGCCCCTGCCCACCGTAAAAAGTTTATCGTAATAATGTTTAAACTGACGTAATCCCGGAGGAAATCAATGCTAGCCCAAGGATGTGGCTCTCAGGGCCTTAGGAACAGAACGTCATATGTAAGTGACATTGTGACTTCGGGGTAGCGAAATCATATTTTTCGCTTTGCGTGGCTCATTTTTACATTTTCCTTGTACATATAGGCATGGGCGCATTCCTAACTGTTACTTATAATAGGTTTAAGCGGTAGAAGTCTGATTTCACCCTAATACTACCATACAGATGCATATAAATAGCAAAAAAAATGAACGTCATTTGTATAGGACATTGTGACTTTGGCAGCGAAATAGACATATTGAACAACGTTGAGAGGGCGGCTACCAGCAGTCGAGAGTAAGGTGATGGTGGCAAAAGGGTGTCTACAATGCACTTCCCGTGCCCCCTTTCGGGTGTATACCCAGTACAAAGAGGGAGTTTTGTACAACGCCTAACAAACGAAGAGGGACAAAGATGCAACTTTAGGCCTTGAGATGAGCTTCCAGAAGCATTAGAATCATATTTTTTCAGTTTTACAGTCGTTTTAACCGTAAAACTGCGATTTAACACCTCTCTGACAAGAATTCAGAGAAAGCTCAACCCAAGACTCGGGACTCACAATGTCATTCCTATAGTACATTCATTTTCCCGGTTTCTCACGACACCCGGAGGTTCAAAAGAACGGGCGATCCCACAATATCACAGTGTTTTGGGTACATATCACTTGGACAGACTCGGGGTGACATAAATAGGATAGATCCGCAGTGAGGATCAACTAACTTACCGGTGCATCGGCGCCAACAGACCTTCGTTCAGTCACGATGACGCGTTCGACGCCCGCGAAACAATTGAAGTGAAAGCGATCGGCGGGCAGTTTTTGAATCGTATTTGATGATATCAAACACAACAACAACTTATTTTGGCTAAATATGTTGCTTAACGCGGTTATAATTGAAGCTGAGAATTTTGGGCAGTTTCGGGAACCCTCAAGTCACATGTCCTATACAAAGGACGTTCATTAAAAGCTGAGCCCTGGGCGCCACCAAACATATCACACATATATGTATGCAACACAATTTTGTTCCTTAGGCCTTTAACTCACATTTCCTGTCCCATGCACATATTTTCGATCTTTTCCCAGGCCATGAAACGCATCAAACTGATCGCGTGCACTCGGTGTGCGATTTAGTGACTTTTGGCAGGAAATAGGCAGCACTGGGTGGGGCCAGAAGTTCCGGCGGGGAGTTCAAATCGTTGCGCGCCTGGCGAGGAACGCGTTCGTGCTCCAAAAAATCATTTACGGGGAAAAATGCGCCGTAAAGGGGCTTTCAAAGTGAATGTCATTTGGGTATGACATATGACTTAAAGGGTTAAAATCACGCAATTTGCGAGATAATTTGTGTCCGCCGCGGGGGAGCCCTCTTATCAGTTTCACACGCACATTAACCCCTTCTTAGCGTTTGAACATACCGCCGCGCGCTTCCACTCGAGTTCGAGATCTCGCCCTCGTCGCCCCGTCCTGCAATTAGCATGCCGGCCGCGCGCATTAGCTGCCCATGCGCTCATGGCGCCAGTGAGCACGACTAATTGCCGGCCGTAGGCTTGTCATGGAGCGGGCCCGGCCCCACCACGGTCAGCATCCCTTGTGTGTGGAAATATGTGTGTTTGTGTGTGTGTGTGTGTGTGTGTGTGTGCGTGTCCTGCTGGTGCTCGCCGGACCCGCCGCCGCCGTCGTGCGACGGAGAATTAGCATACGTCATGCGAGTAGTATCGCCTTCAAGACAAAAGCTGCAGCGGTAAGCGGGAGGGTGGAGTTTTCTTTTCTCTCACGTTTTTTATTGTTTTTCCCCGCGTCGCTCGGTGAGCCTCCATGCTTTGGGACAAACAGATAAGACTTATAGTGGCCTTGCGTCGTCCGTGTAAGAATTATGGAGGCTGCGATAGGTCAAAAACAGCTGCAGTTGTATATGAATTTTTCTGCTCTGTAAAGAGGACGGGGGGTAACTTAACGCGACTTATAGCCCATGGTGTGCAGATGGGCCTGAAATCGCATCCATTTGGTCGGTTTAGGTTCCTCCACCCATGGAGCCGGCAGCGGCTCGGGTAGTGGTCAAGCACAAACGAACCATAGCTTTACTATTCAGCCTGCCATTCGACCGATCAATTTTGCTGTCTACACTCGTCTTCCCTCATGTGATCTTCATACTGTCGGGGTGTCTTCGGGTGCCACAGGCACCTGTACAACACATCCTGGTTCTAATTACATCATTTCCATCATCTTCAGTATTCCGCCTGTCAAATATTCGTACAGGGTTCCGGGACCGATTCCTCGCAAATCCAGGAAAACGTCAAAGTCTCTTGAAAGAGAGAAATCGTACCAACGTCTTCGTGAAAAATAAATTGGGAACTAAAACGCACACGAGCTCCTCAAAAGCAAGACGGATGTCTGAAAACTGACTAGTATCACCAGGTAAAACAAATCGCGCCACGTGTTCTCCATCGTACCTTGCCTCGCCCACCCTGCCCCCGCCACGCCTCGCCACGCCCTATGTGCCGTCTCCATTACACTCCGTGTTACGCCCTGTGTGGCCTTTTTGTTTGGAGCCGGACCTGTGCATGGCGCGCGTTGTTGAGTGTCGCGCTGCTGGTTTGTCGCGCCCCTCTCCGGCCCCCGGACCCCGGCAGCAGGTCACGCCGCAAGCCCATCCCTTCTACCCGGCTTTGATCCTCCCCTCTCGCCTGTGGAACGCCCTGCTTGCAAAATCCCGGCAAACTTTTTAACTGGCGGCGAGTATAGTGCCCTGCAGGCAGGGGGACTCTGCGCTGCTCGCCGCACACGGCATTCTCTCCGCTATAACTGCAGTCTCATGGCGCATTGCACTGATCTCGGGGCCGATAGCTGTTTGGCCGAACAGGATAAGAATGGGATATTATGAGAGCCACGCCCGCCCCGCTCAAGGCCATCACACAACACACACCTGCCGCTCCGGCCGGGCAAAAGGATGAAGACCTCGATGTGGACCTCAAAGGGGACCTCGATGAGGATGAGGACCTGGATGTCGATGAGGACCTCGGTGTGGATGAGAACCTCGATAAGGATTTGGATAACACCTCTATGAGAACCTCGATGAGGATGAGGACCTCTATGAACACCTCTATGAGAACCTCGATGAGGATGAGGACCTCTATGAACACCTCTAT